TGTTATGTTATGCTATCTGTTCTTCTCAAATGTAGACTTTTAGAACTACTTTATCGTTCAAGTTCTTTCCACTTACGGACCCATCGCAAGTCATATCTGCTTATTTAAAATGCTCATTTTATTCTTTCTCCTCTGGCTACCAAAAAAGCTTTATCGAATGAAAAAGAACAATGAGCCAATCATTACTTATCTGCCTGAATTATGGAGACATACATTTAAAAATATTTTACCGCCTGTATAAATAAACTTTTGGCCATAAATCACTTGACTTCGTCGGACACGTCGGCTGTAATAAATTCATGATTGGTAAAAACTGGAAGGTTTATTATATCATACTAATGGCCGCCTTCTTACGATCCTACTTGGAAACAAGATGGTCGAGTATTTATTTTAATAAGTTTTCGACCATCTCCTTTTGGCACATTCACATTTCTGCATTTAGCATCATATTCTGTTTTTTACTGGTTCGTCATATCATATCATATTACTGGTTCAGCTCTGCCAGCCTCAGCTCAGCCTCTCAGCCCTACATCTGTGTGCCTCAACTAGTTTCTTATTTACGAACAAAATTTATTCATCTTTCACCATTTAGCCGCGAGAGCGTCTATCTGATGAATGGTTTCCTACGTTTGTCCGCTATCTGTTTATCTCGGCCTGTGGATATATTTTGAACTCCTCTTACATTTATTTTTATCGTCATTATGCGAAGCGCGAGCGAAGTGCCACGCGGCCCGATTCTCAGGCATATTGCAGTTTCAATCATGCCACGGGTATTGTGCTTTTATTTTTATTATTTCCATTCCACTTCCATTATGGCGGCCGAAAGAAATGCTCGACCATTATTCGAGCCGTTAAATACGACACCTTTCCTCCTCGCACGCTCGTATTTCAATTTTAAATCGGCCCTTTTAACCGCCTTATTAATGCAAGCCTTTTTTCTCGCCGTATGTTTGTGTAGGTGTTCGCTTTGAGAGCAGCCTTAGTGGAAATCGGAATGTTATTCACTTCTATAAAGAGCACTCGAGAATAAGGATTCGGTATCCGCCAACCTCTACATCACTGATGTCGTTGTCTAACTTTTTTTCTGTTTGTTACAGGAACGTGCTTCGTAGGTAACCAATCCAGTAAGTCTTTACTGGCCCTGGTTATTATTCCTGAAGCTATCTGCTTGCTGCTTGGGTGCGTGTTCCTGTCTTCAGGTTTTCGTGCAGTTCTCCGTCGACCAGCACCCGTGCCGGCTCCATCCGTGCTACTGAACTCGCCGCCACAACCACATCAAGACCAAAGCGTCCTAAGACTAGGAGCGTTTGCAGCACTATATGCCGTACCATCAGCATGCATACTAGCTACTTGGGTGTATGAGTACGCATGGAGAGACGAGTGGCTTGCTGCTCCAGTGCCTTCATCAGAACCTTCAACACATTCAAAACCGGCATTCTGGGTGTTTTTGTTCAGAATATTTGCCACCCAGGTCCTTGGTGTCATGGTAGCTGTGTGGATTGCCACTCCAAGTCTAAAAGCTTTATGGAGAAGAATTGCTGGGCCGAGGAAGCAGCCGCCGCTGGCGAAGTGCCCTCCGGGTCCACCGCCCACTCCACTGACGCTGCACTGTTACGCGACACACTCGCACACTCTAACAAGGCATCCGCACAAATATGCAACGTACAGACCACCACAAACACATTCGTACAGAAAACCGAGGCACTACCACTACTCAGCCGGTGAGACAATACTTTGACAAGGATAGTGCTTGCTCAACTTGTGTTAATTACTGGAGTAAGTTCAAAAATGGTTCAAAGACAATCGTCATCAAATGAACCTTCGTTGTTGCATTTAAAATTCCTAAGATGTGTGTTTGGATGAACTAATAATCAAGTGCCATTAGTTTTAAACTGAGGTCAGTATGCGGCCTTATTACTAAACATAATATTTATAACTGTAATTACCTACGTTTAAATGTTTATTTATAATTTTATGAATGATGTATACCTATTAAAATAAAAAGAAATGTAGTACCTTAGTTATTGAAATAGCCTCGCATTTGATAAAATGGTTATCATGTAACGTTAGCAAAACCTCTGAAATCCTTCTGGATAAAATCAACGTTTTTATAAATCACTGATTAACATCCCTTAAAAGAAATATTTGAATATGTAAGTATTTTGTGTTTATTTATATAGACAAAGACGAAATTAAATGATTGTGATGCGAAATAATAATTCGTCCGAGTGATTGCATATTGTAAATAATTTAACATAGAAAATGTAAATAAATAATTTGACTTAGATTGAGTTGTAAATACATATAGGAGTGATAAGTATTATTGATGTACATCGTGCATAATATGTTTGTTATAAAATAGTATTACACGTAGGTACCTAAATGAACCTATAAAAATCAACCTTAAAGATCTCTTCCTCAATTATTTTTCACTTTTTAAATTGTGTTTAAAAAGCAATTGAACCCGTTATTGTTTCATTCAAGTTAATATTTAATTATAGCTATCAATATTTAGCAGCAGTTATTTTTTAATAACACTGAACAAGAATATTTCAGCGCGAATGCCCACCTCCTAATTGCCAAAATACTATAAGTTTACAACTAAATATAATGTAAATAATGACTGAACATATTTGTTTGTGAATATTACTTAAGTTCTATATAAGTAACAAGTGTAAGATAATAATAGATTATATCGCCTAATAGGTAAGTAGATTTACAAATAAATATACTTAATTGAAAATAATAATAACTTGTTTTATTTTATCTATGTTAACTACTAGGTACCTACTGTTGTTTTGTATGGGATAAGTAAGCTGGGAAACGAGCAAACAGATGGTAAACAATCGGCTTCACACATGAAGACCAGAGGCGCTGCAAGTGTGTTAATGGCCTTTTGAGGATTATTGAGCATTAAGAGATTGGGGAGATTGAAGAAGAGAGGGGGAGTAATTGGGCCTCCGGTACGACGAAACACAACGCAAGCGTTGTTTCACCTAAAATAAAGTTTGTAATAGAATGAGGTGAATAATAACTAACTTGACATCCATCTCATAACCTAAAGGCATTAGTCGAGCAGAGGTCTATGTTATTATACGCCTACTTTATGCTACCTACTCGGTTATCAATCCTACATAATCTGACGTGCTTTACTTGTCGGGTATAGATATCTAGTTTATAAACTTCGCTAAAAGCTAGCATCCTATGGAATCCTAAGAATATGTGTGGCGATGGGTTTGGTGAAAATGTGATGCCACTAGTTAATACTAGTGGCAGCTGTAATCAGCATAAGCGTTGTTGTCTACGACGATACTGAAGAATCTCTGTTCCACTTAGTTAAAATCACTGATCATCATAAGATTTGGATAAGACAGTACATACATCCTACACTTAAATATATCCAATTATCGATAGTCTTTTTGTTAATAAAATTGTTTGATTTCATTCGTCCATATTTATTTTAAAAATCCTCCTAGGAAGGATCTAAGAAATCCATGGAAAGTGAAAATATGTCATTTTAGTAGACGCACTCCTGAATCCTGCTAAGCTACTCAATTTTAAGTTGTAACAAAATATCATGCCAATTCTGTTACTTTACATAGAATTTGTAGTGACAGAACTATACTTTAAGCGCAAATTAAAACTAAGTAGCCTTACAGTATTCGGGCCCCAGTCCGCTACATATGTTTAACCATGGTTTAACCAAAGTTTTTAACCATTTACGTAGTAAGTGTTTGAAAAATTGGAACCCAACCTTTTTATGATCACTTACTTTAAAGAACTTTTAACTGGCATCCCTATTTTGACACTTTGTTGACCGCGTTCCGACACTTTAGTTGTAACAGATATATAGCATATTTTTTTTTTTCATTTCAGTCACTCCAAGGACAGAAACAGAAACAGCTTGTTTCTTTCTTTCAAGTATGCTTAAAATTGTATGAACTTCTAAATAAATAATCTGCACTTTGTTTTGCTTGCTTCGAGCCAAAACTGCTGGCTTTATTTTTGTACAACGGTCATATTGTTTGATATTTGAATGTTACATTGAATAAACATTTATCTTTTACAATGTCCTCTTTCACTCAGATTTGTCGATTGAGTAATTTCTTCGTAGGAAATTATAAATGTATTCTAACTGGAAGGTAAGATTGAGGTTATGACGCCAGCTTTATTGTTTGTTTCAGAAATATATGACTATCTTTTTATGCCCCTAGATTTTAGCGAGTGACCTTCTTGGCTGTCTATAGGCTACTTGTAAAAATTGGCTTGAAAAAAAATTCGGTTCACACAGCATTTTGCCTTTTTGAATTACAGGACAAATTGGTTGACCCCGGTCCAAGCATGCAACTATACGAGGAAATCGGCAGAGGAAAAGTTGGGGTTAGAAAAGCCGAAACGGCCTCTGACCCCATTCTTCAAGTTCATGACACAAATGAGACCGGCATTGCTAGCTAAAAACCCAGGGATTTCTTCTAAAGAAGCTATTTCGTGGACATCTAAACACTGGCAGCAGTTGGACCTAGAGGTAGACTAACGCCTGATTAAAAATTAAAAACCTTAAAAGCAAAATGTTTGACACCTATTCATTTTTTCAGACAAAAAATCAAATGGCCAAGGAATATGAAAAAGACCTAGAGGACTATAAGAAAATCAAAGCAATGTATGAATCTTCGCTCACAGATAAACAAAAAGAAGACATAAAACGGCTGAAGGAAGAAATGGCTGTGGCTAGGGAAAAAAGAAAACTAAAAGCTGTAAGTAATAAATATCATTTGGACAGACAGACAGAAATGGTATTCACCTTCCTTGGTTTATTAAAACATGAATTACCTACTGAGAATTTTCTGTACAATCAAAGAACAGTGATGAAAATCATTAAGAACTTTTTCTTATTAGAATCTAATAAGTATCTAATATAAATTCCAGGAATATAAAGAGCTTGGACGTCCAAAGAAACCAATGTCATCCTATTTCTTGTACATTCAATCTAGAAAAGACAGTTTCAAAGGCAAAGATATAAAACAATACCAAGAGGAAGCCAAGAAGGATTGGTTGAAATTGAGTGATGCTGATAAAGCTAAATTTGACAAACAGGCTACTGAACTGATGGCTAAGTACAAGTAAGATTACTACTTTCCCGTTGATATCCAATCCCCTAAATTTGGTAATACAAAAGTAGTCTCTAAACATTAGAAATAAGGTCTATAATGTAATGTAATATTAGTGGAAATGGGGATTTATGGGTTAAATTACTTGTTTAACCTCCTGCAAATTTACCACATTATAGTTGGTGCTTAAGACACTTGATGTATTAATTATGCACTAGTACCTACTAGAAGTGCCACTAGTAAGTGGCAAAACAAATTTCTCAGTAAATCAGTAGTTACTTTCAATTTTTCACAACAGAAATACCTAATTGGAAAGGCTATCTTCCTAGATAGGCTATAATTTTCAGTTACAATCCAATCTCTAGTCTTATCCGTATAAACCTACCGCCTTTTGAAGGATTCCGACCATCATAAAAATAAATGATGTACTTACTGCCTTAGAATGAGGATGTGTGAAAATAATAATAATTATATAAAATTCTCGTCACAGTTTTCGTTGCTATACTCCTCCGAAACAGCTTAACCGATTTTGATGAAATTTTTTATGCTTATCCGGTATCTATGAGAATCGGCCAACATCTATTTTTCATCCCCCTAAATGTTAGGGGTAGTCCACCCCTAAAATTTTTTCAAGATTGCGCGTACGAAGTCGCAGGCAGAAGCTAGTATCTTACATTATAATCTTTTTATTCCAGGAAAGATTTAGAAGCATGGGAAGTTAAAATGATATCAATGGGTCGTGCCGACCTGGTCCGTAGCAAGCCTTTACGAGAGAAGAAGCCAAAGGCTGAGGCAAAAAAACAATAGGAACTCGGGTGCTCTGACGAAACAACTGACTCTCCTCAAAGTAGTGATAAGGATTATATTGTACAAAGTATTGATAAGAGTACTTCCACTAGTCCAGATATGTCGAATACAATTAAAGAAAACATAGTTCCTGATAGCGTTTCTGTTACTTCAGAGTCAAGTCGTCGGAGCACGGGTGATGTAGACACTCCCACGAAGCTGCCATTAAAAAATGTCCAACCTAAAGAAAGTAAGAATATCTTCAATAGTATTAAAAACTTCTTTAATCGTTAAGATTAGTTTTGTAGATCTCGATCACAGTTCATGCATTTGTTGTATGTTTCTTTTTTGTTTTCAGTTGTATTAGATTTATATTAGAATACACTTTCTATATTATAATTATTTTCTTTTTATTTCATTACCCTATTTTACATAATACATATTTTCACTATTGCTAATTCAGTGATTGATAAGTGATAGCTATTCATGAACATCTGTAAATACATAATGTACTTGGTAAGTTGGTAGTGTTCTAGGACAATTTTTTATTCTCAAACATAATCAAATGGCCTTTTATTCCAGTACACACCCAGCCCTTTACAGAAAAACAAGGAAACAGAAACACATAATACCATTCATAACCGTTTTTTATTTCAAAGATGTTACAAAATATAATTAAAATAAACTTTTATCATTTCATTTATAGTTGTATGACCTTTATTTACAATATGAATTAAGCTGATACACTAAATTATTCAACTGAACAGAATTACATATTCAAGCATTATTTGCATGCATAAAAGTATCACATTTTTGTATTTTGTTACGACAAAAGTGAAATTATTTGAATAACAATGTCATGCGGTACTCACAAAGGTAACTATGAAGGAAGACATCAAGAAAACGAATTGACCATAAAGTGACTATTCACAAAAATATTGTTAACATCAGTCTACTATGTACAGCATTTTATTTACAGCCTGTCAAGAACTCCCTCTACATTAAACTGTGTTTTAAATTATAACAATATGGTGGGCAACATAACAGCATTTAGATCTTTGGTACCATACCAGCTTAATTCTGAATTGTAGAGTATACCTATTCCTTTACCAAAGAGTTTTTATTATTAGTTAAATGTAATGGGACAATTTAGGACATTCAGGTCTTAGGAAGTACCTATCTGTTGTTGAGGTTCAATACATCAGTTATATAATATTAGGTAAGTTTGGAGCAGCATGCTTGTATTTTGTTAGTAAATTGTTAGATAACAATACAAGTGTACAAAGATTAAGGCAGTGTTTAGATAGAAAAGGTTAAAATTATTTAACAAAAAACCAATTACAAACAAAATTATCTACAAAAATAATCTACAAGTCACAGACTGCCATATTTGTATGTGGTTAGTATAGTTTTAATTTAACAACATTAGATACAGTATCAAATTTGAATAATATAAAATATGTCCAGGCCATAAAATTGGTTACACAGGCCTTAATAATCCATAAGGACTAAATTCCTTTATCAAAATACCATATCATTACAAGTATAAAGCATGAAAATAGTTTACTAATTTGGCATACTATTGAATATAATTTGTATTATTTCATATCCACAAGTATATTTGTAACTCTCTCAATTCTGAAATAAATACAATTTAAATGCAAAAAATTAATATAAATAGTGATATTACATAACAATTAATTGTGTCCAGCAATAATTAGATTACATGAAAATAACTAGAATTTCTGTTGACACCGCTATATACAAAATTGATTCTAATTTAAAACTAAAAATGGCAATATGTGACTAAAACGCACACATGTCACAACTTCTCACTTATGTAAAAAGGCACAAGCAATCAAAACTATGGAACATTATGGAGCGCCTTCAAAATTCAACATTAGTGGTTCAGTACACAAAGATTAGAAATTTATAATGACACCCACATTGAATTTTGAACCTTACCCCAGTTTAATCTAGCCTGCTATTGTTAAATTACTGCTCAGTCAATGTAATGCCCTCAATATGGGTGCAAATGAAGTAATTACTATGTAATTAATCCATCCCTCAAGGTGATGAATAATGATTGTATGCAAATTGTAGTAAACAGATACACACAAATGTCACATGATATTACACCCATACATTGGGTCAAATATATAACTTTCTTTACTCGGGGTGAAGACACAACATGTAAAAGTTGCAAGGCATTGGCAAGTTTAGAATTACTTTGTGACGGAAACCAGATTAATTTTGTAATGACATAAATTAGTACTGGTAAGAAAAAGTAAGTACCATCAAATGTGACCAATGACAAACTGTACAGTAATTGAATTAAAAGTGACAACAATACTATATCGTATTTGTAATTAGTGAGTTTCTCCCAGGGTGATGGTGTTGGCGCTGGCTCTGGTGCCGGTGATACAAAAGGTGCCAAATCACTGGGTACCTCTCCATCGCCTGCCGCGATGTCATGATTGAGTGATGTTAACAACTCAAATGAATCTGGTTCGGAGACAATCACACCATTATTCAGTGACGTCTTGCTACTGCTTATGTTTGAGGAATGCGAAATCTCGTGAATTGGATCAGGAATTGTGTTTCTGACCGGAGATTCTGAAAAGGAAACAATGTGATGATAAGCAAAGTCCAGCTGAATTTTATAAAATGCGCTCTCGACGCACAATGTTGTGTATACCTCTAGGTTGCTCGTCGCCACATTTTCCAGATATTAGTTGGAGCCTATTATGAGAATTTTCTAATATTCTTCTTCTGCGAGCTTCGCGACGAGCTGCTGCAGCATCAGCCATGTTGACATTAATCAAGTGACATTTAATTTGACATTGCCAGCCACTGAGTAGTTGCCAGCGTTGTTCATTATCACAATTATTTATTTTACAGCAAGATTTCAGTAAATTTTATTGAGAAGTTGTGAAGTAATGAGTAGATCACAATAAAATTTAAAGTATGTACCTATTACGAAACTTAAATTTTAAAAACATTAAAATTCTAATCTAAGGAATTGATTGATAACAATTACGAGAATATTATGCGAAAAAGAATAAAAACCGGAAATAAATATTATATTTAAGCAAAACATTCCCAATTATAAATACTATCTTATTTTTTCAGAAATGTATAATACTTAAAGATTAATTTCTGTTTTACACCTATGAATTAAGACGAAAAAGTATTAAAAAGCGTAAATTCTATCGCCATTTTTGTAAACATTATTATTTGGCAACCGGAAGTTTGTGTGTTGTCTGTTACCAGTAACGCCAAGGACTTTTGTTTGGCGCCTTTACGGGCCGGTCTGGTTTTACTGATAAATTTGTGAATTTCTCTCCAACAAACTAAAGTTATTGTTAAATATAATGGGCGACAAAGGTGACGGAGGTAATTGCTTTTGAAACTGTAGTTGTAACCGATGGTGCTGATGTTCTTTGCTGACGCTTGACAACCACTGATTTTTTGGTTATCAAAAAAGACTTCGTAAAGAATCTGTAAATTTCGTTGTAGAAACCTTTGATGATGCGGTTGAAGAGAGGGTAATCAATGAAGAGTATAAAATATGGAAAAAGAACACTCCATTTTTGTACGATCTGGTTATGACACACGCTCTGGAGTGGCCCTCGCTAACTGCCCAGTGGCTACCTGACGTGACCCGGCCTGAAGGAAAGGATTATTCGGTACATAGGTACGGAAACTTCATTCTTATCTTGTTCATAAAATGTAATGTTGACAGGTGAAGGTACTCATTGACACCTCATCTTGAGGAAAATCATGTCAAAATACCCTAGATTACCTTACATTTTGCAAATTCCGGTTCTAATTACTGGTCTTATTATGAAATTAAATATTTTACGAAAACTTCTAAGTAGTTCAACTTCTTTTGTCTTGTTCCTATGGTTAGTATTTCAATTCTGTCTCTATAGGGAGTAGATGTGTCTATTGTGTAGAGTAAATATTATTATTAGCCCAATACTAAACTACCAATAAGTTGTCCTAAGTCCTATACATCTTATACTCACTGATTCGCATAAGAGAACAACCAATATAGATAATCACAAAGAATGTTACCATCTCTCGATATATATACACAAAGGAAACCAAGAACTAAACATTTAATAAATTGATAAAATTTATTTCAATAGTAATTTATAACTAACTTCAAGAGGTGGTGGCAAGACTCCTTATGTAATTTAAATGAAACTTAAAATCCATCAATCAGTTCTCACATCTATAGTTGATAAAGATGATGATAATGATGATGATGATGGTAACACTCACTAATATTATAAATGTGAAAGTTTCTTTGTTTGTATGTCTGTCTATCAATGTCACTGGAACTACTGAACGGATTTTGATGAAATTTTGTATACAGGCAGGGTATGGGCTGACTTAAGTGATAGGATACCTGAATAAATGCTACCATGAGATAAAACAGGAATATGCAGGCAAAGACGCAGGCAGAAGCTTGTTACTAATATAACTTTCCATGTGCAGATTAATCTTGGGTACTCACACATCAGATGAACAGAATCACTTGCTGATTGCAAGTGTACAGCTTCCCAATGAAGATGCACAGTTTGATGCGAGCCACTATGACAATGATAAAGGTGGTAAGTACAGAGAATTTCAACTGTATTGAGTTAAAACATTACTCTAGATAGTATAAGAACATTTTTTCTATAGTGTGTGAGTGCTATCTGTTTGTGATTGTATCCTTAGTACTCATAAGTCCATAATGAAGAAGTAAGACCATATTATAAGCATCCTGTTTTCATTTATACTTATGAACATCACTGACATAGTTATAAAATAAGGAGAGAGGTTCATGATGACATTTAATTTTCCAATTTGTGCCTATTCCACTCAACAATATCACATATCAATCTTAGAAACAGTAAAAGAAAGTTTCTATTAGAAACATGAAAATGAGGAAACAAAAGTATTTTACCGACTTCACGTTAGGCTTATACATATGGGGAATCTAAGCTATTGTTATTTGTTCCAGAATTTGGTGGCTTCGGATCAGTGTCAGGTAAAATTGACATTGAGATCAAAATCAACCATGAGGGTGAAGTGAACAGGGCTCGGTACATGCCTCAGAACCCCTGTGTGATTGCCACCAAGACTCCTTCCTCTGATGTGTTGGTCTTTGACTACACTAAGCATCCATCAAAGCCTGAACCTTCTGGGGAATGCCATCCTGATCTCAGGTATATACTATTCTATGTTAACTCATTTGGGCCAATAATTTTCTAATAAAAATTTAAATTACATTTGTCATTTGATAAAACCCAACTTAAAATACTCATCTATAAATTGTATTAAATGTAAACTTAGCATAAATTATTTATTAATTTTATGTCATTGTTGGCATGTAAGAAGACTTGCTGAATTAATTATCATGTGATTAGATACTACTACTTAATACAACTATCTATCTTTACTTCTATGGGGACTACCTACCATTTATAAACATTACTTTATCTTTCAGATTGCGTGGTCACCAAAAAGAGGGCTATGGTTTATCCTGGAATCCAAACCTTAATGGTTATCTGCTGTCAGCGAGGTTAGTATTAAGAGTTATGATGATAACTAGTAGTTGTTACAACTTTCACTACCTACTTACATCTGACTACCTCAACTGCCTTGTTGACCGAGTGGGCGCAAGTACGACTGCCGGGCAAGGTGTCTCGGGTTCGATTCCCACATCGCGCAAAGTATTACTGAGTTGTTTAAGAAATCTCTGTAGTAGCACAGAGTTTGGAATTGTGCCCTGGTTATAGCAATAGGCTTACCGCCTATTACATGGGACTCATAACATAGTAGTGAAAAGTGGGTGTTACATTGTACAGTGGCATTAAATACCGTAATGTGCACTGCTGTACTCTGCCCACTCCGGTGGGGATAAAAGGCGTAGGTATAAGCTATTAATAAATTCTTTGAGTGGCTATTGGGCGTCCGGTAACCTTACTCGACGAAACAACGCAAGCGTTGCTTTACGTCGGTTTTCTGTGAGGCCGTGGTATCACTCCGGTCGATCCGGCCCATTCGTGCCGAAACATGTCTCTCCCACACTTTAAAGTCTACCTAATAGAAATTATTTCCACAGTACAATCTCAACACATTTATCAAGCAAATATTATAACATATCTAATGAGATATTTTATTGAACAGTGATGACCATACAATATGTCTTTGGGACATTAACGCGACGCCGAAGGAAGGTCGCGTCATTGAAGCTAAGTCGGTGTTCACTGGACACACGGCCGTGGTTGAGGATGTCGCCTGGCATCTCCTGCACGAATCACTATTCGGATCTGTGGCTGATGATCAGAAACTTATGATTTGGGATACTAGGTAAGGACTTCCTATCATATGACTACCGTAATTGATATGTAAAAGAACACTTTTAACACAACACAGTAACAACTTTGTAACCCATGCAGAAATAAATTTAATTTATTATTTATCATTATCATTTACAGTATGTCTTCTTTTTAATAGTTTTATCTATTTAATACCTACAAAACATTAGCATTATTCTTAACAAATGAAAAATCGGTAACGGATTCAGGTTAATGGAGGTACATTCCTTAACTTTTCAGAAGTCAATTATTTTAGTTCAGTTTGTGTACTGCATAAGTACTTAGAAAACTAATTTCAAGTTTGTTAACAAATCAATTACTTGTTTGATACTCCTATGATCTAAATAAGTATGGTGTACTTATTTGCAGATGTAACAACACATCAAAGCCCTCTCACACAGTAGACGCGCATACTGCTGAAGTCAACTGTCTCAGCTTCAATCCCTACTCTGAATTCATTCTAGCTACAGGCAGTGCTGATAAAACGGTAATTATAACTTACATTTATCACAAGCCAGAACCAATCAGTGAGGCTTTGTTTATTATGTTTAACTAGCGACCCGCCCCAGCTTCGCACGGGTGCAATACACATGTATTATACATATAAAACTTCCTTAAGAATTACTCTAGATCTATTAAAAAAACCGCATCAAAACTGTTTTAAAGATCTAAGCATACATAGGGACAGACAGACGGTGAATAGCGGCTTTGCTTTATACTATGTAGTGATTTGTTCACCACATACCGTGTAATTGATAAAAGCTTAATGAAAATACAATATTCCATGCAAATCTCCTTGCTAATTGGCAGTATAGTTCTTTTGACTAGTTATATATCCTTTTAGTGCTGTTTTGTATCTTAAATTAATTAATGCTTAGGAGAAGGTTGGCTTTAGAATCTAATTTATAAACATCTTTATCAATGTTAAAAAAAACTAACTAAACACTCAAGACTTGATTATACAGAACTGAGTGTTGCATGATGCAGGTAGCGCTGTGGGACCTCCGGAACCTGAAGCTGAAGCTGCACTCATTTGAGTCACACAAGGACGAGATCTTCCAAGTCCAGTGGTCGCCGCATAACGAGACCATCCTTGCCAGCAGTGGTACCGACAGAAGGTAATACACTAAACACAATGAATAATTAGAACTTACAGTTTTTAACTCTAACACTTTTAAACTAAAGCGTTTCATGGAATGGAATCTTCATGATAACTTTTATCGCCGTTCATTGGCCAATATCGACCTCAACTGGATAACTTGCCAAGAATGTCATTATTATCCAATACTAACACATGGCATATATGCATTGTTAGCTGAAAATTTGCCTCTAATTCTTATCTACCAGCAGTGGAGAACCTAAACACTCCACTGTGCATGCTCTTCACTTTTTCTCTCTTGTTTCCATTTTTAGACACTATTGTGACAAGTATTTGATGTGTACCAAACTGAAATTTGATAAGTAACGAATATTGTTGCAGGCTTCACGTGTGGGATCTGTCGAAGATAGGCGAGGAGCAGACGGCCGAAGACGCGGAGGATGGTCCTCCTGAGTTATTGTTCATCCACGGTGGACATACAGCTAAGATATCAGACTTCTCATGGAACCCTAACGAACCGTGGGTTATCTGCTCTGTGTCCGAAGACAATATTATGCAGGTAAGCGGATACAACCATTAAACCAAAATAGAACTTTGTTCCTATAATAAAATAAACACTGTGTTTTTGGAATCTGAAATACTAGCTCTTTTAACTTGATGAAAAAGTTATAAAGAAAGAGATGACTACAGACCTTTTAGTATTGGCAATACATGCAGTACATGTATTGCCAGGCAGTGCATGCTATGTGATATAGGACCTTAAATCAAGTCAAGTAAGTCAATAGTGCATATTAACTTAATTCTAATATGTTTGCCCAGGTATGGCAGATGGCTGAGAACATCTACAATGACGAGGAGCCCGAGACGCCCGCGTCGGAGCTGGAATCTGGTGTGAATGTGAACCACGGCTAGCTCCGCGCCTGCGTAGCCGGACTCCAGCATACGAGCCTCCACTGTATGACTCTATGTACGTAATGTGACAACACAACCACATGCAGTACGCGTTAATACAATAGATTATATTACAGCAACATAAGACAATTAGGGCCGATTTTTCAACTAACAGATTTTTTTTCATAGAGTAATATTGACCTCTGACAGTTTGTGTATGGAAAATCTATCAACAATTAAAAATTATTACTCCAATAAAGTTATGTGGCGTTGGAAATATCGGCCCTTAGAGAAACCTTGTCTCCTCAACAGATATTTATTCTATTTCTTCTATTCCGTATGCACAATGGCGTAAACCTAAACAGTTACAGTTCCTTAGAAAATATGAATGTTACTGTCTCTTTCACCCTTAAATTGTTAGTGCTTAGTAGTATCACATTTCTTCTATGAAATCCACTATGTTTCTAACTCCAGAGCCACTTAACGCGTACTGTACTGTCACCCGGGCTCTATACCAAGTTTCAGTTTAAAATATGGAAATTATATGTAGAGCTCTTTCACGATAATAAATTCGTTCTTAAAGTTAATACAGTGTGTTGAATTTGTTTCCAATTACGCTCTGTTAGGCCAAAAATAAGTATGTAAATTAGGCAAATTGGTTTTTATTTTTATGTTCTCGACTTCTACCATGCTGCTATGATTTTTTAAAATTAATTGTCAAATTACTATGTGTAATTTTGTGATGAAGGCAACTGATCAGAATTGGATGTGTTTAGGTAGTGCTTGGGTGTTATTTCGTGGCGTTATTGTTATTGAAAGAAATAAAATAGAAAGTATTGAAATATCATAATTAAATTAGTGAAAATAAATGTGTAGTTTTTCTCTGAGCAGTGGCAACAATTGCAACTCATTTGTTTGTCGTCGTAGGTAAACTAAGCCAACATGTCCCGAATACACATCAAACCGCGCCTACACTCTAAAAATGATCAACAATGAAAGAGCTCTGGAAACAGTAATTTGAGTCTTATGTCCGTAAACTATAGATGTAAAAATTATTGATATGGTCAACAAGTACATAACTTGTACGATATTAGATGTTAAGAAAAAAAAACATACAAAACTGCAATCATAATTTGCAGTGAATTTGTTATTGAATGAGGAAAGAAATTTGAATATTTTTGCATAATCTGAAAATTATTTTTGAGTCCATATTTTGTACTTTATTATGCAGTTTGGTTGCTCATATGTTTTGATATAGTCCACTGGTAGGAACAGTTTGTATGAAAATTCATTTCCCACTACCCTCTGTCATATTGAAAAAATGTCTCTTGATTTATGGGAATATCTCTCACAGACCAACATAATTATGTTTGAAATCACATTTGAATGGAGGTTATCGTTCTTTACTATCCCTAACTGTCGCCACTAACATTTAAAAGTTGGTGTAACAATATGGGGCAGTTGATGCTATTCTGTTTGTGCCACACAATCTGAACAAACAAGTGCGCAAATATCTGGCGCTGGCTTAACAGAGACTAGAAATAAGAACTATTATAAAGTTAAAAGTTCGATGGTTCAAGTGTCTGTCATCACCACTCGACACTGGCAGTATAGCCGACATAAATAAATGGGAAACTCTTGCTATTCAAGAAACTTTCATTTAAGACTTTCACTGCCAATAAAAAACTGTTAAAGGTAAATCCTCCGCTAATGCCGGTCACCGGTGACCCCCATGGCGTGATAAACAGATTCTGATGATTATATAAAATAGATCAGATCTCATTTCGATATCGTCCCTAATGAGGGGATTATGATAAAAATAAACACATTTTCAGCTATTAACTGTCAAACACCGCGAGGACACCGGTGTCCGCACACCTTCTTTGTGTCTATAATGACGGTACTGAAATAGCTTTAAAATTACATTTTGTAAATGTTTCTACCCTTGGACTATTCAAAATGGGAAGGGTCCAATTATTTGTGGTCTGTATGCACAAGAATCTCCCAAAAAATGTCACTATAATGAATTAAAAAATATTTTTGTATAAGTGGAATTTTCTATTTTATTTTGTTCTAAAGTAAATGTGCGTATGGACCACGGACGTGTGAGAAACAGAACCCACATCATAGAGACACCTCGCTAGCCAACACTGGTTAATTCCATTTTAATTTATTGTTTCTTATCCAATAAGTCAAAGGATGTGTTTCTGTTGTAATTGTCATTATTATTATATTAAGAGCCTCTTTCACACCCAGTATTCCGTATTATATAGTCTATGATTTATATAAACTACAAGAAAAAATACACCTGTAGCCAGTAGCATTTGATAGCTTAGCTGTCATAGTATGTATGTAATACGTAAACATTTCACTACTGAGAATGATGATACGCTGAGCTATCGAAGTGTAGTATCTTGTTGTAATGCATGTTCAATGTTAAGTGTACCGAGTTTCACACCATACTAGCACAAAGTGAAAGATGCTCTTACTCTGGTGACGCGACTGACCGATGGTATTTTATAATGTTAATGCAGTAATGGAATAATTTTTAAGCTCTGCTAATTAATTACCTATTATGATTAAAAGTATCGTAATAATAGTTGTTGTTTTCATACACCTACAACAGTTTTATTAATAAAATACCTAATAAGTAAATAACTTATCTAATATGTCCGTGTCACGATTTTCCCTGTGGCATTTCGCGAATGAATGCTGTCTGGATAGAGGTGGGCCGTGACCCTGCGTGTCGACGCGAGCGATGTAAACACCGCGCCCCGTGCGTCACATTAATGTGATTGTTTTGTGACAGGGAGTGACCACAACGCGTCGCTAATTTAGTCGAGCTCCATCTCTTGCACTGACATCATGAAACTTGCTGTTCTAGTGCTATTTCTCGTAACATCCACAGTTTCTGGACGCACCCATGGTTCCAGCCACTCTAGACATGGAGGCTCGCATAGCTATCCTCACAGTACTGGTTATTCAGGATATGGCAGTGGAGGTTCTCATACGTATCCTCACTCGACAGGATTGTCAGGCAACTCAAATAGTGGCAATGTGAGACAGACGTACACTCAGCAGCACAACGTCAACCACAACTCTTATGTTGCACACACAGAAGTTTACCACCACTATAATTACAACCCGCCACAGCAAATAAGCTACGGGTCTACCTACCATCCCGTGTACCAAGGCCACCCGCCTGTCTACGTGTACGAGTATCGGGACTCGGGCAGCAGATTCGACAACTTGCTGACTGGACTGGCGCTGTATAATCTGGGACGCAGCAGTGAAATGCATCATCATTATGATGCTGACAGGCAGTACAGTGGAAGCCCAGGAGAGATATGCAAGCTGGGTATCAGTAAACGAACTGGTGAGTACGAGGAGACTCGTATCAACTGCAATTTGATGTCGAGCTTTATTCTGGAGGATGTGTCGGTCCCGCACCGGAACGACCAACAACAGCAACATGTTGTGAAGAATACAACTCAAGTACAAGTGACGCAGACGGTGAACGGCACGGGAAATTCTTCATTGACTACAGTGACAGTAACTAGCAATACGGTTGAGGATGCCTTGAAGGTGAAAGGTCCCTCTATAACAGTTACACCAGGCATGACTTGTTATATGATCAGGATCTTTAGGGACTCATCTTTCAGGAAGCCCGTAGATTGTGGACTCTTACAAGAGTATGCTAGGAGTTCCTTACATCGTAACGGTGAGTTACGATTGATGCCTCAAGTAACACTACTATTAAATGTTGTGTTAATTTATTTAGTGCGATATAATTAAAAAAGCCTTAAAATTATTTAAAATTTTCTACTAAATGTTTTGAGAATTTGTCTGTAACGAGCATATCTCTCGCGGCTTGTTCATGTAAGTTATGAAATACATAATTATTATCGTATTGATGTCTGAATAAGTTATTGTTGTAGATGCCAACTATGTTAACTACTTACTGAATAAAACTTTACTGCAAGCTGCAAGTGAGAGAACTTAAAAAATGTCATTTTATAATTCTTTCTTATAAGGAAAAGCTAACAAGTACATATCTACATTTATGTCTAGTTAGTAGTAACTACAAACTGTAGGTATAATTGTAGAACTACAAACACGTGATAGATAATTTGAGTTGCAACTATGCAAACACCATCGACTTTATCCGAGTCTTTAATAGAACAAAAAGTCGATGAAACTGTTTGTAAGCTGTTAGGCAGTGACATTTGATAGAATTGACCTATTTAATTGAACTTTAGCGTCAATGTGTGTGTGTGTCTAGAACGACAAAGGTGAAAGCGACTGACCTTTCAATAAAGTGCTGAATTGTGTAACAAGACACATATTAGAATAGTTTGCAGAAATAAGCATAGTGTACCTAAACTGTATTGAATAGAGAACATTTGTTGATATCTTCTGTAAAGAAAACATAAAATACAATCCTTTTTTACTTAAATACTTAAGATGTAATTAAACTAGCCAGGTACCTTCTGACTAGTTCATAAGCTTGTACAGATTTACGCTGTTTTCGTAACTTCTGCATACTTCGAAAAATAAAATTGACAAACGTAAAGTATAAAATGTTTTATTTATAAAATATGCCTAATATAATTAGTTTAACTCAGATAACATGCACGATAACAACTAAAATAATACCTATCAAAATTTAATATAAGTACACAGATTATAATATTAATGCCGAAATAATGAACGTCACTCAATTTTAAGTCGCACTTATATACGGTTTTTTCACTACAAATTCTTTGTAAAATGAAAGAGATGGCACGATATTTAAGTACAACTTAAAATTGTGAAGTTCAGTATTCAGGCGTAACTTAGTTAATTTTATCGAAATCATTAACTACTGCCATTCTTACACGTTAACTTTTTCCGAGAAGAGTTTCGGTAGGTTTTGCCAGCATTCGTAGTATTTCGCGTCTAATTTCTGACAGGTCTCGTGGCCCCATTTCGTGATAGCTAAACTTAGGGAAGACTCGAACATGAACGCCTGTAAAAACAGATTAGTATTATCTATCTATCTATCTATATAAATAAAAATGAATTTCTGTTCGTTAGTCTCGCTAAAACTCAAGAACGGCTGAACTGATTTGGCTAATTTTGGTCTTGATAGGTTCGTGGATGTCTTGGGAAGGTTTAAAAGGTGAGAAAAAACCTTTAAGTGGTACGAAGTTTGCCGGGTCAGCTAGTTTAGTAATAAAATATCTGTGGTTATAATATCGATGCGATTGGTCGAACAGGAACCATACGTAAACGTATGTACATACACTTGAAAGCAAAGAAAAGAAACCGAGCTACTAGCATTCTGTTTTTCATTTTATCGAACCTTGATGAAGATTGATGACTGTCATTGAAGCGAAAGAGGTATGTGTACGGTGAAACCATACACTGGTAATGCACTTCTGCTTATCCGTGCATTTTTCCTTACTTCATTAATTAATATTAGTCGAGTATTCAGTACATTAATAGCGGTCATCGCGTGTGCTCCCTCGCTCCTTTATAACTCTCATAAACCTTTGGTCGGATTATTATATACGTTTTATTATTGACTTTATAACTGCCGTATCATTTCATCTACTACCCAATTCTACAAAGTTACCTCAAAGTGTGGCAAATAGTGTTGTGTTTTCGCGAAAGCAGAGTACGGTTGACCGACAGCCGAGTGAAGTGAATATAACCAGTGCGAGTATCGATTGTAACCGCGATATCTCTACATCACCTGTACCTAGAAGGTGTCGCTTTAAACTAGATGATGACATTGTATAGATTTTGTTTATCTTTTTGGCCCGGGAGCATGTACGGTGAAACCATACACTGGTAATGCACTTCTGCTTATCCGTGCATTTTTCCTTACTTCATTAATTAATATTAGTCGAGTATTCAGTACATTAATAGCGGTCATCGCGTGTGCTCCCTCGCTCCTTTATAACTCTCATAAACCTTTGGTCGGATTATTATATACGTTTTATTATTGACTTTATAACTGCCGTATCATTTCATCTACTACCCAATTCTACAGTATGTAAGAATCGTAGTAATTGGCGTTCCTTAGTCTCTGCCTACTACCATGGGAGACAGGCGTGAAGTTATGTATGTATGTAAACATGTCAAAATTAATTGTATTTAAACTTTAAATTCTATTGAAGTGAAATAGGTACCTGAGTATTAACAGCAATTTTCTGTGGCACGAGTTCTCCGCTTGAAGCCGCGTCGAAGCATTTGTCGTCTGGACCATGGGGCGTCATCATCGAGTGGAGGGATGCTCCCCCAGGCAAGAAACCACCTTCCTTCGCTTCGTATGAGCCCAGTATGAGGCCCATGAATTCACTCATACAGTTCCCTAGATTATGACAAGTTTTATGTATTTACATTTTTAACAAAAAAACTTTTTAAACTTTTTATCATTTTCCAGTATACCAAAAACATTTTATGTGAATTTAAATTATAAATTATTCCTAAAAAAATTTTTTTAAATAAATGACATAACTAACTTTCCTTTGCATTTTGAAACTAACAAAATACATACAAAATGTGCAAAATCGTAAATACTTTAATCAAAAAGTAATTTCGCTGAGGACAGGATTCGAACCTGCGCGGGTAAAACCCATTGGATTTCAAGTCCAACTCCTTAACCACTCGGACACCTCAGCTACAATAAGACGTGTGAAATTATCGACTGTAATAATACCGTTACACTTTTCCTTTGTAAACTGAACAATGCATTGTAATGAACAGCACATGATTTGTATAAGATCTTTTGTAAATAGACTATTCTATCAATGGGAGTCTTGTATTAACTCAGGTAGGTACGCAATCTACCTGAGTCAATGAGTCAATACAAAAATGCTTAAAAGGAAAAATAGACTTTTTTGTAGAGATTTTTAGAGTGTTTAAAAACCCAAATAAAATATTCATGGATCAAATGATACCTATGTTGTTATTTTCTTATGAACCGGTGGTAATTACTGGAGGGCAGTCCCGGCCATAATAGATAGTAAAAGTTGATTAAGAAGATCCTAAATAATTGATATTTTTATGTTATACTAACAAACCTTTCGATCTCTACTGCAATCTCTACTTGGCTATTAAGACACAAAAAGGGAATCTATAATTCCTATACTTTAAGTTAACAGAGAGCGTTTCTGAGTTTAAAAAAACCGTGTCTATTCAATTCAGTTTTCAGGCTTCAGATTCGTCGCTGAGGTGTCCGAGTGGTTAAGGAGTTGGACTCGAAATCCAATGGGTTCTACCCGCACAGGTTCGAATCCTGTCCTCAGCGAAGTTTTTTGGTCGCATATTTTGTTATTGTAATCTGGGCCTATTAATATCACTGCACAAAACCTTGTAGAGTTTGCAAGTGAAAGCCAATTAATTTGTAGCTTATTATATTAAAATTATTTTTGTTACAAAAGAAACACTAGATACCTAGATACCTTCATTAGTATCAGAGAGTATTATTGTACAATATCTAGTTATCCAATAAGTAATCAGTTCTTGCGACAATCGCGAGAAGGATAGTGACAATGTTACTCTCATCACCTTACAGTAAAGCAACAATAGAAAAGTAATTATTTCTATTTTAATACCAACAAATGGACAACTCTATTAGATTGATATGCACTTGTGTAAACTTTAAAGTATAGACAATCACTTTAATAATCATACCAATTTAACTACGTCGTGTGGAACCATTAATGAAATTGGATTGCTTTTTATATAGCTGAGGTGTCCGAGTGGTTAAGGAGTTGGACTTGAAATCCAATGGGTTATACCCGCGCAGGTTCGAATCCTGTCCTCAGCGGACTTTTTGAATACACTTTTCATTTTCTTTTGCATTTTTTTTTATATGTTTGTGATTGCTTCCCGTGTAGTGTGTTATGGTTTTAGAAGAGTCTTTAATTTGGTGTTACTAGTTCTCTAGTATCATCTTTCATATAATAGCGGTAGTTAAATTGTTAGTACCAATTACACTTACAACAAGTTATTTATGTATAGTGCATGTCTAACGACACGACAGTGCAATTTTGTATTTTCAATTTTATGTTCAAAAGAGTACCTAGAGACTAAAAAGAATACCTATTATTATTTTACTTAAAATCTTACCGATTATGTATCACTAGCGACTCGGCCCGGCTGTGCACGGGAGCAATATGCATGTATTATACATATAAAGTTATAAAGCTTCCTTACGAATCACTCTATCTATTAAAAAATGCGTACTTTTAAAGATCTAAGCATATATACATAGGGACAGAAAGATGGCGGATAGCGACTTTGTTTTATACTATGTATCTAGTGATGAAGAAGGCTTAGGTATACTATAGGTTCTTGTTATGACTTGAAATTATTCGAGTAACCCGTCGAACAAGTCTTAGCTAATTACGTAATTTAACAGCTAACAACTGTTAGACTCAGGGCAATCAATAAACATGCAGTGGACATATAGTAATATGTCCACTGTGTTATTAAGTAGTAACTTACGGTGGTAGTACGGTGGACGGAACGTGTGCTCTTGAACGGACCACCTAGGTGGGAAGATGACAAAGTCTGCTATAGCCACACCAGGCTTCGTCGACTGGCAGGTTAACACTGTGAATATCGACGGGTCCTGCAAACATGTACTACGCTATAAGTCAAGAAACTGTAAACTTAACTATAAGTCAAGTTTTAGTTATTAGTTATTACGTTTTAGTTTAATAACTAAAACGTCGTAATCGACAAAAGGAGGATAACACAACCCGGTGTTGCGTGACCGGTGTTGGTCGCTTCCCAACAGCAGTGCGCAACGCCCATATGGACACTCGCATTGCCAGAATTGAGAAGAGTTCCTTTTTTAAATGGAGATGGAGTGGATTAGGCCCAGCTCTTTTTCTGGTTCACATGGCAAAACACAATACAAGTATTGTCTTACGCTGCCACGGAGGACTTAGCGAGTCACTTGGGGTCTGGCTCGATTTAAGAGTAGGAACGGGGTGGTGTTAGTCAGTAAAAGTCTGACACTCCTTCTCGCCTCATGCAAGGCTGGAGAACTCAATGAATGATTTCCCCCTCAAAAACCATTGTTTCATGCTGGTTTTCCCATAAGTAAATGACCGAATATCATACTCACACAATGATCGTAAAGAACAGCATTGATGACCATGAACTTGCTGAGGTCGTACTTGTAAGGCACGTAGTTCCCGTGCCAAGCCACCACGTCAAACGGGGAGTGGTTCTGTTCAGCCACGAACAGTGAGCCTTGGTACTTGTTCAGGATCTTAAATCCTGTAGGATGGTATTGCCGGATGGGTTATTTAGATCTTGAATGTTATAAAAAACGAGTGTTCCTATGTGTTTGGATCTGGATCCGGATCCGGGTCTGGGTGTCATGTGTATGTGAACTTGTATGTTTGTAAACGCACCCACGTTACAGGAGAAAATCCCAATCTAGGATTGTCTCCTATGTCGTGGGTGCGTTTTATAAAAACAAAACGATTACTCGCCTTACTTAATCAGAGGGAGAAATGTCGATAAACGTGTTAAATCTAGCTGGGAAGGAACGTGCCATAAAGTATGTTGACGACAACGCCCGCCCTAAATTTACATAAGTTGGAAAGTTCAATATCTTTTGGTAATCATTATTTTTCCAACTCACTAATCGAAACTTCACCTTCTGTGGTGTCTTTTATATTTTGTTTATGACTCCATAGTAAAAAAGTTTTAATAATAGTCAACA